TCTCTCTCTCTCTCTCTTTCTCTTTCTCTTTTAAAGGCTATAAACAATCCTGCACAAGTCTTAAAGAATTTCACTTTTAGTGGAACGATCATCTTACTCGATGCTAAGAGCAAGGAATTGACGAATAAAAACTCGCTTAAGTGTTACGGTAACGCACATCAGGAACTTTCTAAAGTGCATAGAGAGAGAGAGAGAGAGAGAGAGAGAGAGAGAAAGAGTTTGTATATCAACAATAGTTCCAAACTGAATATCAAAACCTTTCGAAAATTATTGAATTGCGTTTCTCAAAACCTTTATTTTTTCGGTCTCAGATTGGGCGCATAAGTCTCTCGTGTCAATTGTGATGGAAATGAAAAAAGAAGGAAAACTCAAAAGTCGAGGGTTTGCAGATGCTATCCATCGTTCTGGTACGTTCGCGTTGAATCTTACGTTGAGGCCAAACGTTACTTTACCAACTCGGTCTACTAACTTCACTGAGAAGGGCGTTCCCCGCATTCGGTCAAGCCGGCAGCACGTAACTTTCCGCGAAATGTTATTACGCCTAAAATTTTTTTTACACGATAAATTCGTGTAAAACGAATTATTTTTAATAACCGTTTTTTTTTTTTTTGGTGCCTCTTCATTCCTTTTTCCCTTTTTTATGTGACCAATCACCCAGGATGTAACACGATGAGAGGGGAAAAGATGAACACTTCCCAATTGATGCATGCCCAATCGACGGGCGTTATGCCTTTATGGACAGAACCCTTCCTAGAGTTACGATCAATGTAAATTTCATTGCACTGAGATTTGAACCCGCGAACACTGACGTAGCAGCCACGATGCGTCCCTAAGCGCATACTCATGCAGCCTTAAGCGTATATGCCACAAAGGGATTTTCAATTTAATCGAATTAAGCTGCATTTGAAAGTCTACGGGTAAACTAAGATTATTAAGAGCTGTTGTGACCTGAAGACACATTTAGACGCAATCAATTGCATAATTTGGAGAATTTTAAATGAAAAAAATAAATAAAGAAACGGAGATAGAAGTCCAAGCTATAAGTTCCCCAAAATTATCTTAAGTGACACTGATACTCGTGAGTTGAACGTTTTGCTTGTGCAAGAAATCGTAGACGGAAATCGCATAAAAGAAATTATAAATAAATTTTCGCACCGAGTTCATGTGAAGAGAATTTTTTGGAAGTGAGGTTTACGCATGTACTCATTAAAAACGAACTGCTCGATGCCGGCGTTGTTGTTTTTGATCTATACTTTCTTTTCTTCTCAGTGGTAGTCATTTTTGTTGTAAATTGAAAAAAGGATGTTTTTCGATCATGGGATTGCAGCAATTCGATGAACCAATGGGGAGTGCTCTTAATCAAAATCGCTTTATTATCCTTTGTCCATAATTTTAAGACTCGTCGGTATATTTATGCAAATAAAATTTTATGCTTTTATATACACAAAAAAGTAAAGATGGTGAAAAAGATGTACTCATCGTACAAACAATATGTAAAATGAATACGCAGCATATATCAAGAGAAAATAATTAAAAAGGAAGAAAAATTGTATTTGGCTTAGAGGGAGTTTCTTGAAATCAGCGCTACAAACGTTTGGCAGACTTGACGCATTCACTCTCTTAGGCATATTGGGAAAGTTTATGTGCAAATATCGCAAAGTGGTATCCTTTATATAAAATAACCCAATACTGATAGGCGAGGCACCCTACACACAACATGGCATAACATATTTCATAGCGTAAGGAGATGCATGTAGAGCATGATGTTCGTGATGATTTGGAACTATCGTCGAGAGTGGAACGTGAACCTCAATTCGACTTTTGCGATCTGAAACCTAAAGATTTAGACTAGGTTTACGATTGCTACGATATTGTGCAGTGACTGCCATACGAATTAAAGCAAAGATATAGTAATGTCAATGCTAGTGACCGTTAAATGTTAAGTCAAACACGTAGTCATGATTATAATGATGAGTAGATTTATTTTATTGCACGTGGTTTTTGTGCATATTACAATTAGACTTTCACTTTTTTACTTTTTACACACTGCACTGTAATATACGGATTAACTATGATAAGTTATTTTATGCATCCTATAAATTCTATATGATTTCGACTTTGAATAAGCAAATGGACATGGGAACTACCTGTTCACCTGTGAACGCGTTTTTTTAATATTGAAACAAAAGGGGATAGGTTAACTTGTTACCTTCAACACACACAAATATATATGCGCTTACTTGACCAAGGGATAGAGATGATAACGCATTGATTGTATTTTTCGGGACGCAGATTATTGCTAAAAGACTAAAACTATGAAAATATTTTCTTTACTACATCGTGTTGTTATGTTGATAAAAATTGTTCATATAGCCATATAGTCCTGCTCTGAGATGATTGCCATTGATAAAAGAAGAAGTAAAGTAAAAACTAAACACGATTTTCATATGGTTTCATACCTTCAATCTTGTAAAAATCTTACGCGAAATCGTTAGGGCAGAGAGCCCAAGTAGGTGCTTGCCAACTGACACTGAAAACAGCTGGTTCAGCTCGCGAAACGAAAAGTATAACAAGATTTGTGAGTTGGATTCATTCAAATACGAGGTCGGCAGATTACGCGTAATAAGGAGCCCTGATTTGATGTTCTGTAATAAATTTGTTAACTATTAACTAACACTATTTACATTTTTAAAAAGAATCGTAAATGGGTTGAAAAAGCTCGTAGTTATAGCTGCAGTGATCAAGCTTTATGAATATGAAGTTGATTGATATTGAAGTTGATCTTTTCTAATAAGGCTGGCGGGGTCAATGCTACCAGGCGTTAATTTAGCAAGGAAAGAGATATTTAGTGAAAACTTTCACTTCTCAAGGAAGGAAGGAAGGAAGGGCTAAGAGAGTAGCAATCTTTTCAAAACAGAAGCATATTCCAGTGTTGGCTTCGCCAAAGGCGTCCATGATTTGTTTCTTACATAATGTTTATCAAATTCACTCCATCATCTTTTGATAAAGCCAAACGCAGCTCTTGCTTGATTTATAGTAAGCTAAGGATGGAAATTGTTATTTGGTTATTTGGTCTTTAAGAATGAATTAACACAAAATTGATTAATTTTTTTTTTTTTCTCCAACAGACCTATTCATACGATACATACATTTCTGTTTCTATATCGCTGCGTTAATTGGCTTTAATTAAATTTCACTCTCTTACGGCAAACATTTGTTTTTATGCCTTTTCTTTGAATAGACAAACAATTGATTCGCAGTTGTTTGTGAATTATAAATATATTATTATTTTATTTGTTTTTCGCATACGCTAAAACACACACATACACACACACACACACACATACAATACATATGCATATATTATACATCAATCAACATAATAGCATTGCTAGTAGAAGTGCGGTTTTTGGGTTTTTTCTTCTTTTGTTTTGTTTTACTTTTGGCACATATGAAGAGCTGCGTGTGTGTTTGACAAGCGTACAAGTATGAATTTCTGATTTCATTTCACAAAATTTTTAAATTACTCAAAAAACATTTTAGTTTAAATATCTTTGCGTTTTTCAACAATTAGACCGATGCGATGATCACAGAGTAACTAAAGAGCGACAATATATGTTTAGATTTAAAAAATTTTGCTGCAAAATTGTGCAGTTAGCATACTTATACCAAAGGCGAATAGATATCTTTAGATAGATACACATATACCTCACAAACATCCATACAGCTATTGTATGATTTGGTTAAGATTACACTGCCAACTAATGCCTGTACTCGTATTCATAATACGCTTACGCCGATGAATTTTTATGACTCGCTTCCAGTTTCAATTATGAAATCATTTATCGAAAAATCGGTATATATATATATATATATATATATATATTTGTTTCGGCTTACGTTTTACATAATTATCAAGATGCGTGAAAAACTTTATCGATTTTATAAAAAGCTTACATCAAAAAGCTTAAGATCATTGCACATATCCCCGAAGTGTTTGGGTACTTCAATCGAAAAATTGACATGACCTTGGCAAAAAAAAAAAAAAACGAGAAAAGAAAAGAAAAGAAAAATACCCCCGCCAATTTGCATTCATCGATCACTGTTAATTTAATTTGTCTCGAACGTATCTGAAAGTTTATCGTTAGGGTAGCGCCCTAATCCATTCATTCATATAAAGTTTATATTCACATATTTACCTATGAGATTTGGTCCAAAAAAAGAAAAATTGCGTTTTTATTTGTTTACTTTCTATTTTGGGTTCATGTTGCGAAAACATATATAGGCAGACGTTAATACAATCTCATTATTATGTATAAAAATTATGGCGTTTTGTCCACACCTCACGGGCACATGCTCATCATAATAAATATTTGAAATATAACCAAAAGCGTAGATATTTTCAAATGGCAAACATACGTTTTCAAATCTCTCACTGCTGAAATGTCTTGGCTGCTCAAGAAGAAGCAAGAAGGAATGTTAACAATGAAGTAAAGCGTCTAGCGTAGAGGTATACCCGCATCCGACACAGATCCGAGTTGTACGTGTTTCGTGAAGATGTTGCAAACAAGCAAACGCTTCATATTCTAGGTATCATTTGATCAAGTTGTATGATAATAAAGTTCCTAGACAAGTGGTTCGGGACATTGAAGCTTATCTCATTAAACAATATTGCGCGAATCGACAGTGCAATTTATTAACTTAACTTTGAAGATGAAACACCAAAAGCAAAATCACGTTTCTCAAGTGACGGTAAGGCTAACCATGGTAAGCTATGTAAGCATAAGGAAGCACAGAGACAAGCGCTTCCCAATCCGTACTCCTACATACAACGATTCTATTGAATCTACGTAGCGCCTATAAGAGGGAGATTATACAAGTCAGGCATAAATTGGACTAAGCTCGTGTGAAGCTTTTTTGTAATTGTAAGTACGGTCAAACTGTTTGGACTACCTAGCTTTACTCAAAAAGAGCTTAAAGTATAAATGAAAACGTAGTCTTGGGTCGACTAGAACTCCTAGATCTATGTTTTACAATTTTCGGAAATCGATGAAATATTCAATAGTGTGAACGCATTCTTTGCCTTGCCTCGAGGAAGGCAAACAACTATTCATCAAAGAACCAACAAGTTTAAATGCGGCCAAACCGATCATTGTACATTTTCCAAAAATCCAATTAAAGTTCAATTACAGAACGTTATTAAATCATTTGATCGGCGAGATGAAATGCAATCGGTTACCGGGAAGGGCGGAGATGTTAATATTAAAAAAAGTTGATTGACTTGCTTTCATCGAATCACTACGTTTTGTTCCCCTCTGGCCACGGGCCAAGCTTGCGATAAATGAAGGCGTAGCGCGCAATGACCATTCTTGTAAATATCCAAATTTTCAACAACCGATGGATTAAGTGCAACGTTCTTGAAGGCCATGTCAATTTTCTATGTTCCCAGGCCTGGGTTTTTCTCTCTCTCTTTCTCTTTATTTCTACGTAGCCCTCCAGCAAAAAAAAAAAAGAAAAAAAAAACATTTTTTCATTGTTTTCATCTTCTTACCTCAGCATGCCCCCATCCATCGGCATTAATTTTGGCAGCAGCTTCTACGCTTTCCTTGGCACCCATTTTGATTGCAATTTAGTTTTACTTTCGTTTCCTTTTTTCTTTTTCTCTCAATAATATCCGAGGTGGTTACAAGTTTAGAAATTGAAACACGATTGATTTTAAATAATTTCTTTTAATTTTTTTTCCTTTTTATAAGTGAAACTTCGCTTTGTGTTGCTGTTGTTGCTATTGTTGTTGTTATATTGACCGATATGTTTTGTATTTGTGATGATTCTTTCTTTATCTTTCTTTCTTTCTTTCTTTCTTTCTTTTTGGTGGTATTGATCGATGGTAGATATCTCGGAATCTTCCCAAAAGATTTAGGCGTGCCTTTATCTAAAAAGTTCTCGCTTCTAAGCACAAAATGATTGCTTTGCTCCTCTCATGACTCGGTTACATTATAAGTGAAATTGATAAAAAGACGATTTTTGGCTTAAGTGTGCCTTTCTCCGTTTCTTCTTTCTTTAATTCCCTTTTCTTTTTTTTTTTTTTTTCTTTTATATTTTTATTTTTGGTTTTATTTTTTTTTACCTCTTTCTCCTATCGTTTTTTCTCTCTTATACCTTCTAGTTATTTCTCTCTATCTTTTTCCTCTCGTAGTCTTTATAAATTTCCTCTGGTTACATTTTCACTTAATTCGTTGTATTTTTCTATTTCATTTCGATTTCGTCAACTAAATGTTTATTTAAATTTACATTAACTGCATCTATCTACATTTATAATCATTTGTTATGACTCTTCCTTTAAGGAATATTTCAAAAATTATTTTCGTTTTATTTTCTCTCTCTCTCTCTCTCTCTCTCTCTCTCTCTCTCTCTCTCTCTTTCTCTTTCTCTGTCTTGCTTTACGTTAAAACTTTTCATAGTCCTTAACTTTCATTATGAAAAAGAATTTTTTTAGTGTTTTCTTCTATTCTCTTGCTTTTAGTTATAATCAAATCCGCTTGTAGTGATTTACGTATCTGTTTATGTGTATATGTTTTTTTATTATGATTATGATTATGATTATTATTATTATTATTATTATTATTATTATTATGCCTTTGTTACTGATTTATTCGCTTTACTTCGGTAAAGTGACGAGACGTTTCACTTTCGTTAAGCAATTGGTTTAAGTCTTTTTTTATAATTGATGTGTAATCCTTTCAAGTATGCAATGTTATCTTTAAATATAAAAAAAAAAAATCTATTGCTATTACACACTTATAATAGTATAGGAAAAGAAAAATGGACGTACTCTCCCGAAGCTACGGGATATTATTGTATAGCGTAAGAGAGAAAGAGAGATCAATTTATTTACATTTGCACACTACATCATTATTAAAACAAAAAGCACAAAGGAGTCAAACGTACATAAACACATAAACATACACACACACATATATATATATATATATATATATATATATACCCGCACACACGCACACATACACACATTAGATCTTGATCATGACATCAGTTATCGTCCATCATTTAAATGCACGTAAATCAAATTGATAAACTTTTGAATTAAAGAACTCGCTCTGCTCGTCTCGCTCGTCTCGCTTATTCCACTCGAACCGCTAGTAATGATAAAAAGTAGAAAATTTTCACAAAAACTCAACGATTTTTAACTAACAAGTTGTTGTGAATGTTTAATGCAAAATGATTGTGGTTAGTCCTTAAGACTCTCTCGTATAGGATTCTCGGTTTGCTGCTTTTCTCTCCTTTTGTTTGCATTTTTTTTTTTCATTTTTTTTCTTATTAAGTTTAATAAGTAAACAAATCTTTGGTCACTTGCGTCAGTCAATTAGTTCTTAGCTAACTTCTCGTATTTAATTGAGAGAGATTTGCCTTGTTCGTCTATAGGTGTAGGTGTCATATAGGATTTAAGGGAGCATTTTATACTTATCTATCTCACAAGGAAAAAACAAGAAAGGAAAAAAAAAAAAAAAAGGAAAAAAGTAGAAACAGTATTTACACAATAGTAAGTAGCCGTCAAAATATTTGGAAAATTAAAGCAAAACTTAACGAAAATCTCGATTTTTGCTTTTAACGAAACCCATGCTGTCGTTAATGTATTCCTAGGTACCTATATACATATATACATACGTTTATTCATATAATATATGCGCGCATACATACGGATTTTTGTTAATGTAACGACATGTTCGACGTTTAAACACAAGCACACACAAACACATACACAAACACACAAACACACACACATACAACACACATAATATGTATATATATATACATATAAACATACATACATACATACATATGAAACTAACAAATCAACCGTCCGACATACGCACATAGTTTATTTAAATTTTCATGCATATGTGTTGAGATGGTTGGTTGGTTACTCAATACTGGTCTGTTCATTAATTAATTGCATATGCAAATGGGAAATTTGGTCGAGGAAACTGTGAAAAAGAAAGCAGAGTGTTGCTTAATAATATATATATTTATTCTTATAATTAATTCTATCATAAACCTATTGTGGCGAGAAGTTTTAGCCTTAATTTTAGTTTTAATTTTTTCTATTCTTTTATAAAGCAGTCCAGGTAAGCGGACAAAAGTACACAGATAAATGCACGTAAGCACACACATAAACATACACATAAGCATACACATACACGCACAAACGCACGCACGCAGGCAAAGAGTTTTGCATAGAAAAGCCACGCCTTTATTTTTAATTAGATTAAGAATAAATTCATTCAAATACTTTTGTTAATTATTTAATATTGCAAATGAGTTCCGAACGCCAGGAAAATTGCGAATAAAATTTTCTGGAATTTCCTGCGCGTTACTAAATTTTCACACGATGTAGACACTTTTTCTATGTCCTTTTTCTCTTGAATTTAGTTTAGTGCAACCTTTTCACATCATCATATGATTGATGTTTTCAGTGTGTGCCTTTTTTTTTGTCTTTCTTCCCTTTCGATCTATTTCATACGTTTTTCCATCTTTTTCTCCTTCTTTATTTTTTTTTTTTTTATATTTATTTATTTATTTATTTTTTTTCTTTTGTCTTTCTTAATTGTTAAGCAATTTTAATTCGCTTAAAAATATTTATTGCTTCGAACAATTTTTTTTTTAACTTTCGTTTTGCAACAAAAAAAAAGTAAAGAAAAGCAAGAAATTTTTTCTTAACCACTCAAGGAAAATATGTTTAAACAAAGCTACAACACTGCACACAACCGTCGTCTATGAAATTCGTTAAATATTTGCTGCTGGTACTTTCTGAAATTCGAACTCTCGGGTACTCTGCCGTGATGCTGTGATGCTGTGATACTGTGATGATGTCGTTTCAACCCTTAGCTCTCGTTCTCTCGCTCTGGGATGCGAACGTTTACTTAAAGGAATGTTGTAACAATGTACATGTACACGTAGTTATGGCAGGTGGCAAAGGAGGCAGAGGCGACGGAGATGGCGGTGATAGCAGTAATTTGCTCGGATATGTGACCATAAAAATGCATAAGATAGAGAAAGTATGAGATTTATAGTGTGATAGGCGAGTAACAGATGAAAAACTCCTCGTAAGCCACACACAAATTTTATGTATTATATATACATACGTAATTATGTACGTATAGATAGGTTTCATTTTCTTTCGATGCCACACATAAATAATTAAATTTCTTCTTTTTTTTTTTTCTTTTTATTCCAATAAGTCAAAATAGCAGTAATAATAATACACTCGAGCGCAGTATGAAATTATGAAGTTTATAAGAAGCGTATCGCCGTTTAATAAAACTGACTGACTGACGTTGCTTCTTACAATTTACGGTCAGCCCATGTTCACATTGCGGACGTCACGTACGTAACACAACTTTCTTATGTACAACAAAGTATCAGATGTTTTTTATATCTCGCGAAATGCGAGATGTTATATTTGCCAACAGTTATCCGTACTGTTCTCAAATGTCCTTATCTGTCTTTCTCTCTTTCGCTCTTTCTCTCTCTCTATGTTTTTTTTTTTTTGTTTTGCTCTCTCCCTCTTGTTTCACATCCCAATACAATAATTTTATGCTGTTTTTTTTTTTTTTTTCGCTTAGCATTAAAGTTTGTTTATTTTAACACAAGTGATGAAAGTATTTTACGAGATGAAGCCTGAATCGTGAGAGCGAAGGATGCTTCACGAAGCGCACGCGTTTCAAAGTTAATAAGCAGGACTCTTTGTTAAGGCAGTTATATGTTATTTGACAGGTTGTTTTCGTTTTCGCTTTTCCTACACACTATACCTACTACTACTACTACTGCCATCGCTACAATCAAATGCACGAAATCGCAATAGCATCTCATCGTTAGCTGAAGCTTAATATTTTTTTCATGTCAAAGGCTATGAACGATAACACGTTAACAAGCAGCTGCTTGTATATGACTGTAATAGTAAGTGTTGCTCTAATTTTGCTTTTTAATTGACACCATTAACAAGGGAATGCATTGCTATATCCTCCTGCCGTTACATTATATTTTGCATGTCTGTTATCTTTCTTTGCACTTTACACAAATATCTTACATATAATTTTATTCAGCAAAAAAAAAAAAAAAAAAAAAAAAAAAAAGGAAAAAATACTTTCTTATATATGCGATATATGCGATAAAATTAAAGAGCATCCTTTTCATCTCCTCGAGCGATATACACGATGTTTATGATAAGCGTTTAGATAGAGCAGCGGCTAAATGGGAAGTAGGCGAAAAGCTTCTTTCTTTCTTTTGAAGCTTATTATGTTGCATGCATACACGTTTGCATGCATATGCATACATATGCATATGTATATGGCATAACGTAGCGAATTGGCCGAGATAGTCTTTTTAGGGCATTTAGAGGGTGTGGTTCACTGTGGATGCCCAACGCGTAAACTTTGACACACATATTTTCAATGAACTAAAAAGCTGCAGAGATGACATATTGGGTGAGCGAGCGGGGTCCGTTAAGTAACGGCACCTGCACAAACACATACATCAACAACACACGTTATACGTTATGCATACAGGTAAGTAAAAAAAAAAAAAAAAAAAATGATGATGATGATGATGATGATGAAGAAGAAGAAGAAGAAGAAGTAAACAGAAAAATTATGAAGCGATTTTAAACAGCTTTGGTCGATGCTTTTACTATCTTTGATCGCCTAAACGGCTATATATTTCGAAAAATGAAAATTTCACTCATTATCGTTGACAC